AAATCTTTTAAGAGAGTTATTCTTTTTTAAACCAATGTATTGAGAGCTAAGGCTTACCAAAATAAATCACTTGCAGCCATATATTTATTCGATTTCCGTACTTGATTATTATTTTAAGTTGATGTGACTCTCTCAAATTTAAATTCTTGCTTATCTAATAAATATAGGGATGGTTGATTATATGTAACTAACCTAACATTGATTTGTTGAAAGCTCTGACCTACATTTGAACACTTATTATTCTCACTCATCCTTCTCCTGAGATCTGTAATTAAGGAATTTTGCTTAGTTGCTCTAGAGGGTTTGTAACATGACATTTCAAGTTGATCGGTTAACTTTTAGATAGTCTAACAAAAATGCATATTTTTAAATAATAGCATTATGGATTAGCTAAATTATTAATATTGCTCTAAAAATCCTCCATAGTTGATCTATACATAACAGCTTTGCCTAGTAATTTGAGCTTTATCTTAACACAATACAAACAAAATCTTGGAAGCCCTGATGCTTAAGACGATTTACATGACAGCCAAATTAATCTTATACGAATGAGCTGACGTAATTGATGTGATGTATCCAACTCACAGTGATACCTCACATAGCAAATGTATCGACATGCATATGAATTAATTTTCAGTAAAATAAATGGCAATGGATGTAATGACCGTCTTGAAAAACTACAGTTTTAAATGCTGTGAATTAGCTCCTTATGCATTTTATACAATCAAAATGTGTGGTGAGTAAATATTAGTTATCTCCTCCTTAGTATATTGTTTTAAAATTGTAAGGTCAAATTGTTGCTTTGTTTGAAAAAAATTACCACTTAACATGGTTTATCCTTGCCATTAATATAATGCTTTCTAGTCTAAGACTCATCGTTATATGAGATGTATTCATCCTATTTCGTTTAATGTGATGATGACTGATTTACTGGTAGTCTCGAACCTCTATTTATATACGAAAAATAAAACTTTTCGGTTTTATTTTATCGTCTATGCAGCTAAAAGATTAGCTGTTATTTTTCTATAAATTATATTATGTCTTTAGCTTGTCGCATATATGCATGTGAATAGCTGAATATTAAAATTTGACTTCATACCTGATTGGTTAGGTTGCCTCCTGCAATCGGAGCTGGAGGGTAAACAAAGACTGGCTGGTTGTCGTTGATGTCCTGCACAATGACAACCACTTGTGCCGTGGCCGTGAGTCGCCGACTGGTTTCCCGAGGTGAGTCCGTAGCTAGAACAGTCAAGTTGTAGGCAGCTTTGGCTTCACGGTCGAGGGGATGCTTTGTTTGGATATACCCTTCGTAGGTTATCTGAATATTCGAGGCGAATTCGGGATAGTAAACAAAAATGTGGTAATCAGATTGGTATGCCAACTCAATAAACACACCTTATTCTAATGCCCAGTAGGACTGAGGACTACTAGACTCAAGGGTTGTGTGTTTCTCGGCAACATTCACCTTGATGTGTCCTGGTAGCAAATTTCGTAAAGAGCATAAAAAAGCCTGTAACATTGCATGAATATCCTTTATCATGTAAACTAAACTAAATAGAGCAAATTAGGAAGCAGATATGGGGTAAAAATGCATAGCCGACCGACGTCACAGAAGTATGAAGTTTAAATATGCTAAGAGCTGAAATTAAGACCAGAAAAGTTAAGGAGTAACGCAGTTAGGATGCTTGAGATCGTGATGAGAGAATATATGTAAGGTATCATCTACTCGTAGTGCAACACACAGGAGGCAGGCTTACTTTAGTCCTATATCTCACCTTATTATATCTACAAAGAACAATATCTATCAATGGATTGTAATATAAGCAATAGATAAATAAGGCCGATTAGTGTGTAATCAAGACAAATTCAAGGGGCAACAACAATTTTTAGTCGGAAAATATCTGGCCTTATAAACCAGATAAAGAAATGAAAAGTTTAAAATCAAGAAATTGCTAAAAGTTGGGCTGATTATTAAGCTGGTAAAAACAAAATAAATGGTTGGCAAGAGAAAAATTGGTAGTAAGATAGTAGCATTTAACCTTGCGTATAAGAAAGGTATACTTTAGAGCTCATCATCCTGATGTCCTTAAAGAACAACTGGCTTTCAAGTTTGCCTTTTAAATCATCATTTTACCCCAAAAAGGAGAAAACTGTAGAGAGGGTGGAAATGATGCTGGAAGTTTTGTAAAATTATAAGATAACTGTTAGACAAGCCTCTATGTAAAACTTCATATGTTTATATATTGATCTGGATCTAAATGGACCCTTATAAGCTTGCAGGTGAATATTTTGGCTAGAAATGAGTTATGTATTAAGTGATAAAATGGCTTCACATTTACTTTGCATTCATCAACATATTTATGATTCCATTCGTGTGTACCTCCCAGTCTGTGGGCTAGGCGTTCGGCAAACATAGATTAAATCGCGGTCTGTTTAGGTGTTACGTTTCTAAGGATCAATGGTTGGGGAGTATTTAATATGAATCTTCCTTATCTAAGCTGGCTCCTCGCCTATCTCAAGCTAACTTTATAGTATAGCTAAAAAAATATATGATACTCAGAGATTTTGATGTTGGTATTAAATAGGTCAATTGAATGCATAATTATAATGTGAATATGCGCTTTTAGTGAACGAATCACGCAGTAAATCACTATCAATAACGTTAATCCATAATAAAATGGCATTTTCTGTATGACAGAGCAACATAAATGCAAATTCTAAAGACATTTATTTTACCATGAACCGTAAATTCATATAGCGTATTTAAGCAAGAAATAACAAAAATCAAGAGGAATTGGTCAACTATTTTAATAATGTCCCTGGGATTTGTCAGGTGTGAGGTGAGCAAGCCTAGTG